GAAATTAAACTGTCTAGCACTGTCAAAGGCTAAAGTTATCTTGATCAATATCTGACACCTCACTAAATTTCAGAAACACAATTTACCTTTCTCCATTTTTATTCCATTTTACACATCCATTGGCATGGCATTTTATTCTTGTTTTTTTCAGTCTGTGGCAATCTGCTGAGTGGGTTAAAAAGGCTGACACGAAGAATGGCAGCAGAATTGCCCTCTGCATCTCAGTATACAGGATCCCCCTGCCTCTGTGGGGATTAGATTACTGCTGAGTGAGAAGGCCTGCATGGTCAAAAATACCCTGAAAACAGTCCACTTCCTGACTTCCCATAATAAGCAGCAACAACAGAAAATCTGCCACGTGTACCTGCGGACAACTCTTTTCACTCTCTCACAGAGGTCTGGGCTGCTGCTGCCTCAGCGAGCTGGGCTGCTTTCACTCACCCAGGAGGAATGGCTGGGCCCCAGGAGAGTGGGGGCAGAATGTTCTTCTTCTCCAGCAGCTCAAACAGAGATGAAACCAGCCATCATCTCTTCCTTCCCAGCCTTCACAGAAGCCTCAGCATGCTGGGGCTGCCTCCTGCCACCAAGAGATTTGTCACCTCTCCTGACAGACTGGTAATGGTACTCAGGTTGATGAAGATGAGATGGCAGTGCCCACTTGCCCAGAAAAGGAGAGTCCAGCCAAGGAGTGGGAACTGTGGGGTCAGTTCCAGTCAGACTTTTTCAAGTGGCACTCTGCTGCCTGGAGACATTCCTACTCAACCATAGCCATGATGGAGGTCACCTCATGCTTCTGGCAACCTCCCACAGCTGTTCCCAGCACTTCTTTCCTGCAAACACATGGACATTTATTAATCATATCCTGGCATCATTTCAAATCCTGCTAGGCCAGGCAGCCTGAAATTACTGTTTGGAACATGGTGGCAGTCGGGTGGGAGGCTCCTCCAGAGCTACACATTGCAAGCCTTAGGGAAGAGAATACTGAGAAGGGCTTTGTGCTACACTCAGGCCACTTCTACCTCAAATATGTCCTCAGTCTTGTATCAGCAGGGAGAACTCCCTCACTTGCTGACCTCTTGCTCACAGAGCTGCCTCACGAGCTGCTTACCAACACTACATATTTCAAGCATGACCTCAGAAACATCTCTGGAAAGTCCCATTCCCTGGGGACATTGATCTTGCAGCATCTGTATGCTTAGAGCAAGCAGGGCCCTGCTGCTGGCAGGCATGGCCTTGCCCAGGTGCAGGCACTTTCCAGAGTTTTCCATGAGCCCTGTGGGGCACACAGAGAAGTGCTGTCCTCACCTCCACAGCACTTTTGCCTAAGCTGCAGACCAGATGCCTTTCATGAAGGTAGTGTCCCTTGCACAAATACTTATTTATTTCTATATTCCTGACTGATTGATCCCAAAGGATGTCACTCTGTAGGTGTTTCTGCCCCGTGGATGCACCTTCCAGCTCATTCCCCTAAGCACTGGGGACAAGCTTCCCCCAGGAGCCTGGGGTGCAATCTAGGCTTCAAACCCTACCCCAGAAATGAACTGAGCAGCTCAAGCTGAGCTCCAGCACTGCAACATTTAATGGGCTGACATTACTGACCTAGCAGTGTTTTTCACAGGCTCATCTGAAATTAGGGCACTCCCCAGGCTGTTTGCACAGTGCTGCTGCTCTTTCCCTTCTGATGGGTGTTTTGACAGGGATTACTTTCATCCAGAGAATATCTGGGGAAGAATTTTCTGAAGGGAGCAGCTGACTGGCAAGGGATCCATCCACCTTCAAAGCTGTCATGTGAGATTTTTCACAGGATGCTAGAGAGGGCACTGAAATAATCAAGATCACAGGTTTTCCAGGCATGGATTCCTGGTCATCCTACCTCTAACTATTAACACAAGCATTACTTCACAGTGAATGAACTCTACCCACTCCCCTTGCAGAGATGTGGCATAGGCTCCTGCAACATTTAATGCTATTTAACCTCTCAGACTGGGGCTTTAATGAGACCTAAATGCTGAGTTTGTGCTAGACTGTCCAGAGGAAAGTTTGCTTCATCCTGCAGGCCTGAACTTGTAAGAATTCTGGTATAATATTAAAAAAAAATTTCTGCTTTGCATGTGCATCAGCATACCTGCACATTTGTGTGGGTATTCCCATGTGCTGGTATTTGAAAAAGCACCCCATTAGATTTTTGACCAAAGATTAAATGGTATAAATATAAACATGATCAGGGATGTTTGTTTTGGGTTTTTTCCTGCTGTATTTTATTGGCTGCAAGAAGCACAACATTAACACAGCAAATTAAGAATGGGAAGTTCCAACACTGTGAACCTATCTCACCAATGTGTACATATTGCAAGTGTCTATTTGTGCCTCCTCTGAACAGAACAGAACAGAACACAAAGGATGATCCCTATGGTCCCTTGAGGCACAAGATGCTCTAATCAGTCTTTGTGGCTTGGAAAATCCTTTTATCCATTGCCTGAAGATTACTTAAAAGACCTAGTGTCATATAAATGGTGTAGTGAAGGTACATATATCTGCCAAAAATGCAGTCTTATTTTCACAGCTGTTTAGGGACTGGAAGGAGTAAACTGGGAAATAGAAAACCTTCTTGATTAATATTTCAATCATTTTCTTCCCTTGATTTTTCTCAGCACTTTCTCAACATCTGTAAGATGCAGAAGAAGGAATCCTACACTTACTACGCTCCTGCAGTTCTGGCTAAGAGAGAAACTCAGTAGGCTCTGGGAAGACCATGCACTTCAGGATGCAGAGCCAGCAATAGGTCATCCATGAAGATGAACACCTGACTTCAGCATGTGTTAGCTTTACCAATACAGCTACCACTGGGGTTGCTTCAATGCTTCTGCTGAACCAATAACCCATGGAATGAGCAGGAATAGTGCAGTTTAAAAATGTCTGCACTTAGCATGGGAAACTGGCAGCACAAGTAGCACATGACTAAACCTTCTTCAAGGTGATTAGAAAAAGCTACTGGCACTGGAGAAGTCAAAGCTCTTTAAAAATAAAAAAAGAAAGAATTAAATATAGCTGAGGTGAGCGTCCTTGGAAAGCTAAAGAAAAGGATGTAACAACTGGAGGAGGCAAAGCAACACTTGACATATTTGAGGTATTAACAGCTTCAAACAATAAACTAGAAAACTTGTGAAAGGAGGTCAGAAAAAAAATCCACAGGCACAGGATCTTAAAGGTTAGATCTTCATGAAACTATGAGTTCTCTGCCCAGAATCAGATTGCCCAGAATCTGATGCTCTTGGCAAGGTCTGCAGGTGAAACCCCTTGGTCTCACACAGAGCATATCCAGTAGAGTGGGCTGTCAGAAGAGACACCAACTATCCAGTTTCACTTCTTTGGCAGCAAACAATGTTGGGACATATTTAAGAGATGACAATGAGACATTTCTGACTGCTCTGCTACTCCAAAATAAGGAGATGGGTCTGCAAGTGTCAAGGAATGGTAGAGTGGCAGAAACCAAACTCCTCTCTACAATGTTCCACTGAAACAAATCAGAAAGAGGACAGAGAGAGATCAGTCCATGAAAGACAAGATCCCAAAATTGCAGGCTGCATCCTCCAGCTTCTCCTTGAATGATTTGGCTGGAGTTATCTGAGGGCTCTGCCTGGTCAAAATTCAGCACACCCTGCTCTGGTCAGGCCATTTGACCTGAGCCCACTATGTGCACCAGTCTGCAGAAAACTTGCCTGCCCTGCCAAACAAAAGGAGGAATGCTCTTGAGAGCTGAATACAAACACTGTGAAACTCTTAAGTGCAGGTCTGTATTAAACCTTGTGAGCCAGCATTCATTACTAGGTAGGTGAGGTCTGGGATTGGGACCTTGCACATAAACACTTTATCATATGAAAATTAAACATTCACTACTCTGCACTGATTGTGCAAAGAGAAAAGGAGCATTCAATTTCAAACGACAGCATTTGGTTGGCTGCACACTTCCTCTAGGCAGAGGGGGAGAGAACAAAGAGCTGATGTTAATGACACTGATGTAGGCATAAACTTACAGGAGAGAGCTGCAGGAACAAACAGAATTATCTACAGAGGCTGTACTGGCACAGCCTCTTCCATCCCCTCTGTGGGCTGGGTCACTGCAAACACAAGGGCTGCTGCCATAACATGGTCTAAAAAGTTCCTGACAGTCACCACAGCAAATGCCATATAATGCTGCATCAGCAGGGATAGGGCTAGATGACATGGCTGGATTCTCTCATTTCTGCAGTCCTAGGAAAATGCCTTGCCATTTAAAAAATATTTAACTGCAGTGATGTCAAAGCATCTACTGAGATATGTTTCTGCTGCATTTCATTTCCACTAGTAAATACTAAAAGGGACATTTTAAGAATTCTAACAGATTGATGCAATATCAATGCAAAACCATTACTTTCTTCCAACTCTTCTTTGAGAAATCAACTGACCTACCTCACTGATTAATTGATCCAACCTGCTTTTTTGCAGATACAAATTAATTCCTCACCACATGAGGGCCTATAACCTCAGCTCAGCATTTAAACAAGGCCAAGAGCTCAAAGTGAACAGAGCATCTAAAAGAATGACAAGTTCATAAACATAGTTTGCTCCCATTGGATCCTAAACCTGATTTGGATACAGTTCTACTCTGGGCTAAATCTGATCTTGATCCAAACTGAGGGTTTAGAAATCTCCCCTAACCTGGAAAAGGCTCATTTCTTAAGGGTCAATATTCTTGAAAACAGAACCTGCAGTTATTTTCTTTGAGGAAAAACAACAACAACCACCAACAAAACAAACCAACAACCCCAAACAAAACAAAATAAAAACCACTAAAACCAAACAGCAACCCATAACTCCAAAACCAAAGTAAAACTTGCATCTAAAATTGGAAGGACTGAAAGCAGCAATTAAACCACAAAATAAATAGCACCATAAATTCCATCCTGCACATGACCTTTTCCTAGGTCATCTTTTCACCACCCCTTTCATTAGCTCAGTACCTGTCCATCGTGATATCAAGCACAAGGCCAAAATCTCGCTGTGTGCCCTGGCACAGGCTGGCATGAGCTTGATGCAGTTTGCCAAGTCTGCCTCCTTCTGACTTTATCACCAACTTGCCTCTTGACTCCACAGTGTGCCTGATGTCATTGCTCAGACATCCGCTGTGTGATTTGCTGCAATTGGCAAAGACCTACAAATTCCCCATGAAAACAAGTCCTCCAACTTGTGAGTGTAATGTTACTATCCTTAGTGTCTTCCCAGAATGCTGCAGTGCAATGATCTTCTTTTTTTGTATTTGTTTTTCAGTTAATGAGATTAATTGTGGAACAGACATTTGAGAGACCTGTGGTTTTAGATCCAATTTCCAAAGGGCTTTGCATGCTGAAGTATTCAGGTAATCAAGACAAGGCTGCATATCCAGAAATTCAAAGGTTAACCCTGAGATGACATTAATCCCACACAAATAAAATCCCACATAAATAAAAGTCTTGTAATGCTACAGGGTCTTAGGAGTACTCACAGTGGATGAAATCCTGTGCTTCATCTTTCTTCTTGTCATCTTCTTGAACTTATTCATATCATATAATCTATTGCTTTATAAGAGCTGAGGAGAAGAGCCAAACACGTCTGAGGCTGAAAGCTGTCATGTTGACTTCAGCAATCTGTTGCCCTTGCAGCATCTCATGAAAAATCTTCCACTTGGCAATCAAAGTGCCCATGTACAAGAAATGCACACTTTGTGACATGCAACACAACTTCAAGTGGAGGTCAGATACCTGACATGGTTAATTTCACCCAGCAAGAAATTCTCAGAGGAGAAATAGGTCGGGACACTCTTAATGGTATATCAGAGAAATACTTATGAGGCTCAGATTTGTTTAAATTATGGATTTTAAATGAGTCCAGGTACAACACGTGTGTTACTACCTGTATCATTCCTGAGTCTTCTCTTCCAGCCTATCAAAGTCTTTGCAATGGCTGCAAGAGTCATACCCATACAGTTTTATAACAGCTTTGATCCATTAATCCCCGCTGAGTTCCAGCTGAGTAACTGCAGGGCACAAAAAGTTTAGTCAGAGCAAAGAGCATTCTTAGTTTTGTCACCATTTAATGCTATAGTTTCCATGCATCTCTGTTAAAAATTTTGCAACCAAAACTGCAGAGCATGAAGAGGTGTGGGAGAGATCACTCAGGCCATACTTAATTATTGCTCTTCAGGAAGCTGTAGAAGATGTGAAGAAATTCTTACACTTTGAGAACTGAGGTGAGAATATACTTGATGAGGACTAAAAGGCCCTGAAAAATGTTTCCAGCTGGTCTTTCCTTGGGAGGGAGATGGCAGATAAGAAAGAAGGGCGGTCAAATATCATCTCCCCAGATATGTTCAGATTGGTTTTAGATATGGCACAAAATGCAAGACTTAGGAATGTCCACTTACCTGGACTTGCAAGGGCATGGAGTAATAGGACAAAGAGCAATGGCTTTGAGCTGAAAGAGACTAGGTTTACATTGGCTGTTAGGAACAAATTCTTCACTGTGAGGGTAGTGAGACATTGGGACAGGTTGCCCAGAGAAGTTGTAGATGTTCCATCACTGGAAGTGTTGAAGGCCATGTTGGATGGGGCTCTGAACAACCTGGTCTAGTGGAAAGTGTCCCTGCCCTTGGCAGAGGGGCTGGAACTGGGTGATCTTTAAGGTCCCTTCTAACCCAAGCCATTCCATGATTCTGTGATTACCAAGTGCATCAAGATGCTAACAACTCAAGAACTGATGCATGGATCATAGGAACTGAGATGAATTCACTAGTTGGTTGAGCCCTGAGTGCAGCTTTGCATGACACCAGGAGGATTTAAAATAGCTGATGACAGCCTTGCAAGCATTAGAGCACCTAAGACTCCCTGAGCACAGTCAGAGGATGTATGAGCTGTCCTATGAACACATAATCAGCTCGAAGACTGTTCTGAGAAGTAACAGTTCTTTAAAAATTCTGCTTGGGGTCACTGACAGCTGCATGTGTCAGGCTTCAGACTCATTTCCTGGCATGCTAACACTTCTGGTGTGCATGTATATGAGCATGAATGCTTATATTCAAAAGTATATAGCTGGTAGCAAACTAGATCCTGTTGCACATGTAAATTTATGACAGCTTGTAAGATAAAAGGGGAAAATAAGAAAGTAATAATTAGACCTTTCAGTTTGACTTCAGTTCCATGCACTAAGCAAATACACACTCTCTGTGTACACTGAAATCTACTAACAAGTGAACAATATTCAGAATGGATTTGATAAATTGTGTGAAATCAAATAATTTCTCCACCTACCCCAGAGTAATAGACTTTGTGAACTGGAATAGACGTTGACTTTATTATACTTTTCCACTGCTTCTTTCTATCAGACTAGAGAGTCATAGCATAAATTAACTTTCAACAGCACACATGCAAAACCAAAAACCATTTCTGACTGAGACTGATATTCTGTTGGAACAGAAGAATAAATCAGAGAGAGTTCATTACACTCTTTTCTTGAACTCCCTATGTTTAGAAATATCTTGGACTCCAGAGTAGATAAGATACTTCTTAACCACACAGGTAATGTGAGACTAAAAGGAATTCCTGGAATGCTTTGGAGAAGAGAGTTTTCCAAAGCATTCCAGGAAGATAAGGAGAGGATAAGGAGAGAGCTCCTTATGAGGAGCAGCTGAGGGAGTTGGGGTTGTTTAGCCTGGAGAGAAGGAGGCTCAGAGGAGACCTTCTTGCTCTCTACAACCCCATGACAGGACGCTGTAGCCAAATGGGGGCTGGTTGGCAACAGCCTCAAGCTGAACAAGGGGAGGTTCAGGTTGGACATGTGGAAGAATTCTTCAAAACAAAATTAATTATTCCAATTAAACATTGGAATAAGGTGCTCAGGTAGCTGATGGAGTCATCATCCCTGAAATTCTTCAAGTGAATGTGGCACTCAGTGCCATGGTCTAGTTGATATGATGGTGTTCAGCCAAAGGTTGGACTCAACGGTCTCAGAGATCATTTCCAGCCTAAATGATTCTGTGGTTCTGTAATTCTGTCTGCTTAAATGAAAGAAGTGACCTGGAGGAATGATAATTGAAGAAGGTAAAACAATTATCTGCAAAGACTCTGCAGTTATTCATTCTGACAACTTCTGGATAAACAAAGGGCTTAATTTCCTGTCAACCTGTGTGAGAATTAAAGGCAAAGAGAATATATCACTTCCTGCATTTCATAATAATCATATTAACAGAAGTGAAAATGGCCTAGGATCTTGCAGCAAGATGCAAAATGTACACAGTGCCCATATTTAGGGGCTGTAGCACGATGTTTATAATTATAACTATCAATAAACTCCAGATAAGTAACTTACTTGAATGATTGATGACACAACTGCTGAGGGGATCTGATTTTTGAATTGAGAATTAAAGAGACTAAAATCTTGAAACACTGTTCACAGCAAAAGAAACCCTAGCAGCAGCAATAATGTTCTTTACCATCCCTAACCATGTTAACCTTTTAAAAAAGCAACAGATAGAGTGAAACTTCAGAACAAAAACATACATGGAATTGAGCTTAGCATTCAAAGATTGTATGAACATGCCAAAACTACTAATTCTTTCCTTTCAGCATTGAGAACAGAAAGGTTTGTTCCACTGACTCCTGGCCAGGTCAGTTCACCATCAGCCAAGGGGAGAGAATAATGAGAGAGACCCCTGCCAGCAGTGGCCTGTGCAGTCCCAGCACACGCAAGAACTGTAACAGCTGCCACTGGAAAACAAAGTGGTTGCATTTATCAAGAACAATGAGGGAATTCAAAGTCTCTAACAAAGACTCTGAGAAATGTATAGCATCCAAATTTGTCATGCAGAAGCATGTGTTATGATGACACCTTCCTTAATTAAAGTAAGGAACTTTCATTTAGCACCACAACTACAAAGCCAGAAACGTTCCCAAAGAGACTCGTGCACAGGGAGAGAAGTTTTTACGCACTACACATTTGTCACCTGACGTTATCAGTGCTCCCAGAGTTTGTGACCTATATAATGCTACAAAAGGCACCATGTACCTGACATAATTTTATAAAAATAGATGCCTAATAGATGCCTAGCACATACACATTATATATTTATTATATACTATACATTGCATGTCAGTAACAGGCTTACAATAGTAAGTCTGAATAGACTAAAACCAGGCGGGCTTATTCCTTCACCCTTCCTGGAGAAAGTGGTTCTGCTTATCGCCTGCCCATCACTTCCTCTTTCATGGAGGACCTCAAAACTTCTTCAGACCCTCAAGAAGTATGGTGCAATAGCTAAAAATTAAGCAGTGTTATGGATATCACCACTTTTAAACACAGGAAACAATAGCAGCTAATCAGGTAATAGTTGGCTGATCACTTTCAGAAAATTATTAAAGGTTACTTTTGATACCTGTGAACACAGCACGTCCATGTGCTGATGTGTATCCACATCCTCAGGAAGAAAAAAATGAAGGTTCTTGCTCAAAAGTCAAGTTTGTAATTTAGAGGGAGAGTTGAACTTTTAGAACAAATATGTGTCTCCAGCCTAAAAAGGTTTTGCAGTCTTCTATTAAAAATCTTAAGGAAAAAAAAGTTTCTGAGCCCAATAGCCTCAAGATTATATTTATTTTACACTGAAATACAGACCCCCCCAACATATGATTTTATACTTTTATAATTATTTTTATACATTTCTCTGAACAAATATATTCCAACAAAAGATTAACGCAAAAGGTCATCTCTGTTGTTCCCACTGTGTGTTAATCTAAGTCTCTGGTATGAAATGCTGTATTTATAATCCAAAGAAAAGAACAGGGATTGTCTGATGTGCTACTGAAAGTTATCGGGTCCCAAGTTTAGACCAGGGATAATGTCATTCTTTGGTAAACAGCCACTGTTTCTTTAAACCCAGCTGCCTTTGGCATATCAAATCTGTCAGAGGTGCTTACAGCAGTGCATAGGTTATTTTAACGCTCGACATATATTCCCATTGAGAAATGGCAAATCACATAACCCAAATGATTTTCATATTTGGTGACAGACTTAGATTATTATGTACTATGTAGTTTCCAGAATCAACTTCTATTTCCAGGAGTGATGTAAGGTTAAAGTTATGAAACGATGCCATGCTCCTAAGAAACCATGTTTCCTTATCTTAGATGTTAAATTAAAAACATTGATTCAGAAGTTCCAAAAAGATTCATAATTGGTTTTTTGGGGGAGCTTTAACTTACAGTATTAATTAATATTTAAGTGTGTAAAAAAAAAAAAAAGTATTTTCAATGCTCCTGGAAAGGAATAAAACTGGATTTCAGAACAGTTACTCAGCACACTTGAAAATCAACAAGAATCTATCTAAAAGTCCTCCTAAACCTAGAAAGACCTAATTTGGAATAGTTTGATATGAGAATTGCTTTATGATGCCAAATTAAAAAAAAAATCATTTGCACGTTAATTAATGCATTTTATTAGATATGCAGAACTCAATAAAACCCAGAATTTATCCATCATAAAGAATTTGCCCATGAGTTGGAATCTAATATATATATTTATAATTAAATTGCCTTTGACATACTAGCAATACTTGGGGTCATTATCTTCCAGAAAGAAAGTTACAGCAGGAAAAGCATGGCAAAAATGTACTGGTCCTACCCTATTGCCACAGACCAGAGGATTAAAGAATGACAGAGTCTCTCCTTCCTCACACATTCTCTTCATCACAGAATCACAGAATGGTTAGGGTTGGAAGGGACCTTAAGGGTCACCCAGTTCCAGCCCTTCTGCCATGAAGAGGGACACCTTCCACTAGACCAGGTTGCTCAGGGCCCCATCCAGCCTGGCATTTGTGATGTTCTCAACTCTGCTGGTATTAGCTACCCTACCTCAAAAACTGTGCTTATGCACAGAAGAGTTTCACATGTTGAAAGGAGATTGGAGCCAAGAAAATGAACTGAAAAAATAGGATGTAAACTGGTAGCAGCTTGATGTATGGAGAGAGCATAAGAAAGTAGTTTTCCAGTGGGAAGGGGTTACACATTGGTAGATTTAATGGGATACAGGTTCCTTAAGGACTACTCTGGAGACAGTATGTGAGTACAGAAGGACAAATACAGCAGGTGTACTCAAGAGGGAGGAAAAATTAAAAAGAAAGAGAATGCAAAAAGCAGACCAAGAAAGGAGCAAAACAGCACCAAAAATATAAACTATACCAGAGCACAAAAACATCCATTACATATAGAAATGAAAGCAGTTATAAAAAAACCCCAGAAATTAATATGAAGGAAGATTTTCTTAACCTTCTTCTTGCATACCTGTTTTCTAGCTTGAGGTTGTAACTACTTTGGCACAACAAATCTTCTCAGTCCACTTTTGCCAAGAGGCTTAACTGGTGTGAACTACCAGTTAGAATAGTGTGATCTCCAATCAAGACAAATTAATTTCCCTAGTCTGCTGCACTCAGATGTGAGCTACGGCTCCAGGAGCAGCTGCCTGGACACCATCTATGGTTCAGCTCAGTGGAAGGTGCACAGCTCACGCAGGCTGTGCCTGACTTTCACTCAGCTTAACGCTTCTGCATCCCACTTTAGCTTGACATCTTTTAGGCAAGGTAGAAATCCAGATAAATAAATCTCCCTGCAAATCTCCCAGGTTCTCTCTCGGGGTCTCTAGCTGGTCAGAGTGACCCTGAGGTGTGTTAGAAAGTTTCTTTTCCAAGCCCGGTGCTCGAAGAAGGAGTCGGAGCTCTTCATTTCTCAGTCTCAAGGTTGTTTATTGTATCTTATCTATAAAATTCTTTCTCCTGCCCTGCCGAGGTCTGCTCAGCAAGACAGTCAGAGGCACTCTGCCCACCCCCAGGGCAGTGTTATCTTTTTATACTAAAAACTACGTGTACAATATTTACAATTACTTTCCAACACCTATCATCTATGTTAGACAGTGAGCTTCTACTCTAAACCAATCTAAAAGTGCCAACATCACAGCAGAAGATGGAGGCCAAGAAGAAGGAGAAAGGCTGAACACACCCAGATTCCTCCATCTTGCCCCCTGAACCCCCATTCTAAAAACCCCAAAAAATCTATTTTTGACCCTGCGATAAATTCACTATCATTCTACTTAAACTTTCATGGCTTGTAATTCTTAATATAAGGTTGGTAATTGTTTTTTCCAAGGGCTAAATCAAAGGCACAGGGGTCTTGGGGTCTGTGCCAAGGTCTCTGAGCCCCCTGGGCAGGGACTCAAGTCCTCCAGGGCAGCCAGAGGAATTTCCTGGGTTCCCACAGTTCTCCACTTCTGTGTTTCACACTTACTATGATAATGCCTGGACTGGGAATTGGCCTGTGAGGCAGCAGGATGGTCACTGAGACCGCAGCTCAGAACCTGAGCTACCCTGCCAGGTTCACTTCTCAGAGGGCTGCAATATTTCAGTCCCAGTGTTTGACAATGTTCAGCTGGCAGGCCGACAGTGAGGCACTCAGAGCACAAGCCAGAGTGAACTTATTTTCCATCAACTGAACATATGAAAAACAAAGTGCTACTGGGTGATGCCATCTTCAATCAAGTAAGTAATAGGGCACCTTAATTGATATGAGCGAGTTTCATACACTGATACTGGAAGGAAACGTGAGCTCTGGCTAAATACCTTGCAATAGAAGATTTTGGAATTTTAATTGGCCTGTGAAATACTCAATATACAATACTGCAAGCACTGCTGCATATTGTTGGTGCTGTCTCCCACCAGATTAAGGCTGTGTTTTGAACACAGTAGGTCATTACTGTACAACAGAGCACGGCCCCAGGAACAGATGTGTACCTAGAAAACCAGCCACCGAGTGTCTCTCCCCTGTTTGTCAATGTCACACAGATCAAGTGTGCTGACAGCTGCCAAAAGAAAATTGCCTGCTGTCACTCTGGACATCTAACCTCTCCCTCTGTACTTGGCTCTGCCGAGTCCACACCCTGACTCCTGTGTCCCATTCTGGGTCCTCACTTCCACACAGCCATGGAGGCACTTGAGCAAGTCCAGAAAAGGGCAATGGAGCTGGTGAAGGGTCTGGAGCACAAGTCTCATGAGGAGCAGCTGAAGGAGATGGAGGGGACAAAAGGAGGCTCAGGGTGACCTTATCAGTCTCTACAACCCCCTGAAAGGAAGCTGTAGCCAGATGGGGGTTGGTCTCTTCCCCCAAGCACCCAGCAACAGGACAAGAGAAAATGGCCTCAAGCAGCGCCAGGGGAGGTTCAGGATGGACGTCAGGATAAATTTCTTCATGGAAAGGGTTTCTAAACATTGCAATGGACTGCCCAAGGAAGGTGGTGGAGTCACCATCCCTGGAAGGTGTTCAAGAAATGACTGGATGTGGCACTCAGTGCTGTGGTCTTGTTGACACGGTGGTGTTCAGTCATAGGTTGGGCTCGATGGTCTCAGGGGTCGTTTCCAACCTAAATGATTCTGTAACTCATGCTAAGCATCTCATCTGTACTCCTTGAAGTCAGTAAAAACCTGACTTTCCGAGCAATCCCTATGCTATTTATTTGTGCTGAATTACCACCTAGCAGTCCGTAGAGTTTTTGTTCACACGGGTGAATAAAAACAATTTACGTGGGGCTTTATTTATTTCTGGGTGTTTGATGTATTTAACACGGCCCAACCCGCTCCCATCCACAGCTCCCTCTCCCCCGCGTAGGCCGCTGCCCCTCCCCTCGGGGGGGGCAGGGCCTCGCCGGTCCTGACCAATCAGCGCCGCGGCAGCCGGGCCGCGGAGCGGGACTGGCGCAGGGAGCTGTCACTCCGGTGACGTCACGGCGGGATGGGCGGGCGCGCGGAGGTATGGCTGCCGCTTGGCCTGCGCCTGCCGGCTGTGGGGTGTGCGGGTTTCTGCCGCCCGGGGCAGCTGCCCTTCTCTCGGAGGGAGCTGGGCAAGGGGCCAGACTGCCGTCGCTGCCTTCCCACTGGAAAACTGCTGTGTGCAGGCTGTCCCGCGTGTCCTCTGCCACCCGCTCCGGGGGCTGCGGGGGCAGGAGCTCGGCAGGGCCGCTGAGCCCCTCCCCCGGCCTGTGCAGCTCCTCTGCGGAGCGCTGCAATGGAACGCCTTCGGGACATTGAGTTTAACTCAGCCCCAGGGTGTCCTTCTTGCTCTCAGAAGCCGCCACAGGGATGTTTGTGTTGCCCAGTCCCCGTTCATGCCGTAGAATGTGAGCAGGTCTTGTGTCTGGATCAGCTTCTCCAGCTGGCTGTGCTGATGGAGGCCCTGTGTCCCCCTGGAGCTTTGGCCGAACCTGTGCTGTCCCCTGTCCCTGGGGAAGGTTCAGTCCTCCCCTCTGCAGGCTGCTGCTTCACTCAGTGGTGATTGAAATCACTCTGTGATTTCAAAATGTTTGCTTAATGTCTTAATGTCACATATTATGGTCTTGGCAGATAGTTAGGTCTGGAAAAGCTAGACATAGATATATAGAGAGGGTCAGAATCATTTTAGCTTATGCTTTGAAGCTTCATTCTCTAATGGAGAACATAAGGTGAGGAGTCATAAAGTGATTTGCCCATTATTGTACAGAAAATCTTTGAACCAGAGGTGCAGTCACTCATTTAGTACTCTTAAACAGAAGAAATAAAAGCAGGCTTGCAATTCTGGTTTATTTCTTAATTGTCTGCATTGTTTTTTCATAATAATATGTAGATGTATAGATTGGGAACACTCCCTCTTGGTTTTTTGGGGAAGGCTTTTTGCGTTTGGTTTTGTTTGGTTTTTTTAAAATAATAATACTGGGTTTTGTTTCATTTCTAGGTTAAAGTGAAAATACCTTTTGGAAACAAATACCTTGATGCTATTTTTTCTGTCCCAGAGAAGAAACCAACATATGGAGTGATTCTTACTCATGGAGCTGGAGGAGACATGAATTTCCCTCACTTGGTGTCCTTGGCAGCCTATCTTGCATCCCATGGAGTTCTGTGCCTGCGGTTTACTTGTAAAGGCCTTAATGTTGCCTACAGGACTAAGGCTTTCAAAGCAGTTGTGGTAAGGAGTGAAAAAATTCTCAGACCAAAGCTTAGATCCACAGGTGCTGTCTTCCAGGTTTCTTAAATTACAGCCAGAGATTAGCCAAGCAACAGTGGGAAAATTAGAACCAATGTTTAGGTAAATGGAGCACTGTGTATGAACAGAAACAGCAGAAGCGGTTCTTAGATGGGTAACAGCTGGAACAGCTGCCACAAGTGTGCGGGTTTGAGTGTAGGGAAAAAGAACAGCCTGACAAAGAGCAAGGGTGTTTCATGGGAAAATTTACAGTTTACAAAAAGCGGAAGAATTTAGGATGGAAATTAGCTGGGTGAAGAATTTAGGATGGGTGATCTGCTTGCACTGAGCAGGAGGCATTTTCATAGGGGAACAAAGTCGAGTTCTAAAGGAATTTTGTGTGATATCATTGTGATTATATGTACATTAATTTGAAGTCAGACTTTACTGTCTTTCGTGGGCATCTTCAGTCTTTATGGAAGAAGCATAATGTTGTTAGCGTGTTTATGTTAATATGCTGCAATGTAAAGGTAATTTTAAGGCATCTGCTAAGATAACTAATCAGATGCCATCTTATCAGATGCTATCTCCTAAAATGTGAAAAAATGTTGCTGAATTTTATCTTTTCTGTTGGACTTAACTGATTGTGTCACAAATACATAACCTCAATGAAGGGCATTTTTGCAAACCTGCTCTTCCTTTTGATGGGCCAAGAGTGTGCACGGGGTCTGTTACTGTAACTGAGTTGATACATAGTATTCACTTATGTTTTGGTAACTTTATAGGGCATCTGATATTTTAGACTTGCTGAAAGCTAATGTTAAATTGATTGTGTTGTTGCTGCAAAACCTTATGAAACCATTTATGTGATAAAACCCAAGAGAGCACCTTATATGTACCTGTTCTTTAATCTTCACTGCTGAAAGAGCTTCCCATTTTCTGTGTAGTAACTACAAACAGAAGAGATTCCCAGCTTCCCAGCTGTCTTAATTCTGACTTGTAATGCTTCTCTTTCTCTTATTTCTTTAGGAATACTTAAAACTTTGTGATGATTATAAACTTTCTGGTGTTTTCCTTGCAGGTATTGTTTTTATTATCAATAATTTTCTCTCTTATACTGTCTCTAGTAATAGCATTCTGTAAATATTCCAAGTCTGTCCCACTTTGGTGACAAGCAAATGAACCCTCCTTATGATGCCATAGATCTTACTGCAGAAGAGGAAAGAAAGAGCAATAGATTGTATTTTCCAGGTACTTTGGGAAAAAACTTCCTTGTCACTTAGAATCACAGGGCATGACTTTTCTGATTATCCATGTGTACTTTTTAACTGCAGGTCTTGAAGAATTCTGGTTACTGATAAATGGAAAACAGTTTTCCCGAAACAGGTTTTGGTAATTAAAACCTAGTGGCAGATAAAAAAGTCAGCTATGTTACGTGGGAAGGGGAATAGATGGGGGTGGTTAGGAATATCTTGACAGGGAAAATTCTAAGTTTTCTCTTGAGTGAACCAAGTCTGTGCTGCTATAAGAACTAGTGACTTGTAGCACTCAATTTCAGTGCATTGTCAGCTCATATCCCTCCTCTTTGAGGAGATACTTTGATACTCGCTTGCTGTTACTGACTGACCTCATGTTCCAAGTTCACACTTTTTTCCCTCCCTTCTACTTTTACTTTTAGGCTGAAGTTCAAGGTGTACATAACACTGGCTGGATTTGTTTTGTGAGCCAAGTGAAATCAAGCGCAGAAGTTTGTTTTGAATTTGAGCAAATTGAGGTTGCGTGAAAATAATGATACAGGACACTATCATGGCTATCTCAAATTTCCAGGCTCTGGAGCATAGGACCAATGCTTCTCTTCCCTTGTCCCCAGGATGGAGTGTTGTTCCTTCCAGTATTGCAAGGGATCCCTATCCATTTATATTTTCTTTCTTTTCCCCTTCTTTTTTAAGCAGGAGTGTAAATGTTACAACTAGACAAATAGCTTAGCAGAAAATGTTGAAATTAGGATTAATGTTTTTCATGAAGGAGAACATCCCTAGCGTTTTGTGACACTGAAATACACTCAGTTGGATTGGTTTGGGGAGTTGTTTACTAAACCAGAATGTGGATGAGGTGACAGCAGATAATACATTTTTCCTTTATTTCTGCATGGGAGAAAGGCCGTTCCATGGGCTCACGAGCTGCTGCCTCTGTGATACGTCAGCTGAGCCAGGGTGGTGATGATGATGATGATGGCTTCATTCAAGGTCTCGTGTGTTTATCTTACCCATTGCATCGACCAAAACTGCAGTCCAAGCTCCGGGATGAGGATTTGTTACTGATCACATGTCCAGTGCTGTTTGTCTCGGGATCAGCAGATGAGATGTGTGAAAAAGTGAGTACCCTTGTAAATCCTGCTATGAAAGGGCAGTCTGGAGGAGCAGCAATGGGCCTCAGTGATGCCTGTATTTCACCTGATTAACAGCCTTCCCTAAATAGGTGTCTTCTGAAGGAAGCCTTGGGTAGAAAGCTTCATCAGACACAAGGAAGCCTGACAGGGCTTCCTTTTGCTGCTTAAAATGTAAGGGACCATGCTTGGTCTTCCACTTTAGCAAGCTCATCTTTGGGTCACTGAAATACCCCTGATTTAAATGGTTTCAATAGGAGTGCATAAATTAAAAGTGGTCTATGGAAGGAGTGAGTTATTTGCTATTTTGTTTTAATAATTTCAAGTTACAAAACCTGTGTGGAGCCACCAATGTCACATTGGTCACATTTTCATGGCAAATTCTTCTAGCAAAGCAGTTCTACCCCCAAGTCAGGCTTCTGTGGTAGTGATATTTTTGTAGAGATGAAGAGCAGGTGTTCAGAGGGAGGGAAACAGTGCTTTTCTGCCGTGTTTCCTTGCAAACAGGTGTCTGCTGTTCTTGAACAGGCCAGTATGAATTTGGGGCTATGTGCAATTGGCATTTTCCATGCTTGGACAGTTTTTAAGGAGTCATAATGCTTTTGTGAGGATTTGTTGCCAAAATAAGTCAGGCCAGCGACCAGCAGATCCTTGGAGTGTCCTTTATGTGGGAATCTCTGACTTTGTGAGCTGGTTCTTAGATCTCTCTGTTTGCTGAGAGATTTCAACAGTGTCAAAGCTAGTCCCTAAGGAATTACATTGCTATTCAGCCTCTGCAGACAAATCTGACTTCAATTCTATCATTTTATTGCCAGCACTACCCTCTGACAGTAAAAATGGACTCCTTTGAGGTTTAATTTTCTGCTATTCTCTGTTCAGTAAGAGTGAAGCTTTGAGCAGATCCCACTATTCATATCCTGAATAGAGAATACAACCCATTTTCCTAGCAAGGTGTTTTTCATGTGCACACAGATCCATCTATCTGTTTTTTAGGAGCTGCCTGATTTGCAATACACAGGCAAAGCAAGAGACATCTAGGAGTTCCAGAGTTTGTAGTAGCCAATTCTCTAATATTTGCATTCTTGTTTTCTCCATAGCAATTGCTAGAAGGTGTGGTGAGCAAAATGAAAGGCCCTAAAAAAATCCATTGGATTGATAAAGCAAACCATGGGATGGCAGTCAAAGGACGAACAGCAGATGATGTCATGGAAGAAGTAAATGCACAAGTTTTTTCTTGGCTTAGAGAGAATGTTCAACTGCAGCAAAAATAATTTGCAGTGTTCAAGCAGTATCTTCATTTAGTTTTTCCTAAATGTGGCAAATAAGGGGTTTGTTATTTTTTAGAGGCATATTTTTTAAAAAACTTATGTTTTCAGAGGTCTAAGTGTAAATGCAAATAAAGCTTTGTATGAATGAAAAAAAAATGCAAAATAATAAAGAACTTCCAGAAGTACAGAAAATATATCATGACAGCATTGTTCTCTGTGTTTCTATGCAAATATCCATATATGACACTTGGGAATGTAGAGGATTAAATAATGCTTTTGACTAATATTTGAAGTAATATACTAGAAAAAAATCTACTTCAACAGATATCTTTAGGGTTCTTCAATTTCTGAGTATATTACTGATGCTGTACTCACTTGCAAAACCTACTGATTTTAGGGTTCTGCCAGCACAACCCCTGAGGCTGGCAAGCCTGGTATTCTACTTTGCCTTGGTGCTGTGTGCTGGCCTTCCCAGGTGCTTCCAAACCTGTGGGGCAGGGAGAGGAATCTCTGGTTGGTCACAGTGTCTGCCACCTTAGGGAGCCAGATTCTGCCTCTGTGGGGAGGAGGAGGTAATGCAGGCACAGCTGGGTGTGTGAAGCAAAGAACATGGTTCAGTTTTGAGCAGTCCCCTTCACTAATGTCCTTTTTGTAAAGGACCGATCACAGAGGCCCTCTGATAAATAAAAACAAATTGTGTTTAGTGATGGAGGAACTCCTGGAGCAGGAACCAGTTGTGCATCCATTGTGACAGGAGGTCCCTGTCTGAGCTCTGACACTGGAGAGTGGATAAAACACTTTGTCATTAGGGCCTGTGAGTAATCTGTTGGTGTAACCGGGCCTACAGCAATATTGGAATTGTGGTTTTCCTTCAGGTTAACAAGATTTATTATGAACCCCACAGCATTGCCTTTGAGATTGTCTCAGAAGGAGCACAGTTATGGTCTGAAAAAAGAAGCCTTTGGCTGGATAGATTGAGAGGGAGGGAAGATATACAATTCTCATCTGCCCTTCTTTGCAGAACAGTTTCACGTTTGTGAAAAGACTTACCATATACAAGCATGAGTAAAAAGTATCTGCATTTCCAAGGTAACTCAGGACAGGAACACATGACTGATACAAACATGGTTTTTATTTAAAAAAAAATATAAAAATGTGTTTGAATAAGGCTCTACCACCACTGCATGATTAAAAGGAAATCAGGGGTGTTTTGTTTTCTTCCATACGTAGATCATGAAATGGTAAACTTTAAAATATCCACTGACATTTTCTGCGGGCACACTAACCCAGATTTCCCTTCTTTCTTTAAGAAGACAGTCTGAATTTAGGTAAATACTGAAAAAAATTATTTACTTCTGTCAGAGTTCATCTTTGGCCTGCAGTCAAAAAAGAAGAAACATGTTTCAGTTAACTGGAAGCCTATTTTTCACTGTCTAGTCCTCTAGTCCTGCAAATACATCAAGAAGTGTTTCTAAGTTCGATAGGTGTTAATGGCCTGGCCTGATAACTGATACTGTGGGACACTGAGCAGCCCTGCTCCAGCAGGGCTCAGCAGGAACTGAAGACACTCAGCACTTTACATTTAACCCTGCATGGACTGTACCTTTTTTCGGTGGCAAGTGCATGGGAAAAGGTCATCATCAGGCTGCTGCACCTTCTCCATCCCATCTCTGATTTTTGGTTCACTCACTTGCAAGCTGGCATATTCCTAGTTTTAAAAAAAGGAAGGTATCATTAATCCATAAATTTTTTAGATTGTACATGTAGTTGCCAATATTGTACCAAATCAGCTGAGGAATTTTGTAAAAACTCTGGGGCTACACAATCTGTTCCTGCAGACTGTCACAGACAGGGTGAGGGAACACTCAGCTGCAGACAGGAGCCCCTTCGGGTGCCTCCCTGGAGTTCGGTATCTTGGTGCTAATGCACAGATATTTTCAGCTGTGGTTCACAGGGTGTGTGTCTGATGTGGAATTCTTTGATCATTGTGGGCTACATAATCTGGCAGATTAGATCAAGATTTTTGGGATCCCACTGCCTCTCAAGCAGCCAGCATAGTCTTGAGGGGTTATAGCATATAATTGAATACAATGTTTGTGGAAACCAAATGAAGATTTTAATTGTTGCTGCTTGCTTCATGGCTTCAAGTACCAGACTGGCCAATTTCCAGCAGCTCTGTTGCCCTAAATTCTTGCTGTATGATTTCTATTTCTGTGCCAGTAGCCATTAAAAATATACTGACCTGGAAAAGTTTGAAATAGTAACAAAAAATGTGGTCTCCCATGAGATTGTTTCTTGCAAATTCTTGTCCAGATTTTGCAATATTTTTTGCCTGTCAAAGAAAATGAAAGTTTGGTTTATTTTTTTATTGCCCAGACCTAGTATTTATTTCAGGGTGCTACTGTTGGTTCCCAAATTACAAATGAAGTTGACACTTCAGTATAACTCAAGTAAAACATTCTTTTTAAAAGTTAAGGCATTGTTAGGAAGATACTTCTTTTTTCCTGAAGTTCAATTTGATTTCAAATTAAGGACAATATTATGCATTTTTGAGTGTTTTTCTTCTTTGTAGAGTTGATGAAATAAATTTCAAGTTCTCCTAGTATTTTTTTTTCCTTTGTTTTAAAGAAAGTCAATTTCTGTTCTCTTCTAGAAACATTACTGCATACTTCTAAATGTGTATTTTACCTCTTCATCATGATCTTTTGCCCACTGTAGTTTTTCTAGCAGATCACTCAGGTCACTTTTAAATGGAATGAAGTGTTTCCATGGCTGCAGCTCATTATAAAAGTGTTCATAGTAGATGGAGTCTTGCTTTAACACCACACTGTTTCCTGCTAGTAGATAAGGCAATCTGTATGCTGCCACTGTGCCATCAATATTAATTTGATATTTATACTGGAAAGAAAAGGACCAGAAGTTATTAAAAACCACAAGATCCCAGTGGCTTGGTTAGGTTATATTCTGAGGGCACTGGTGTTACTGACTTGCCGATATTGAGACAGGTAGGACTGGCTAGGCAAGCATCAATGTCTAAGAAGCTTTTATTATCTAGTTTGGAATTCATCACAGTGCAGGGTACACAGAGCTTCATCAATTAAGTTCTCCAGGAATTCTTAGGTGCTCATCCTTGGATGTGAGGGTAGATGTGCCACTTCATCCACAGATTTTCCCACTATGTTAGTTATGTTAGTAGTCCTGATCGCTGAATCAGGAAAAAGAAATAAAAAGGAACTTGAAGTTATGTAGGTTACACGAGGTTCTACAGAACCTATAGATGTAAATCAGACATTACTATCCTGAGGGTAAGAGCTACATAGCAGTTAATCCCACTGGAGGGAAGTCTAGTTATGCTTGTTACTGGTGGTGTCCTGAAAAACTAACAATCCCTTTATTTTCAATAATACATACTAAGTTATTTCATAATGGGAAACAGTGAGAACTGAGTTCTATGAAAAATAATTAGTGGCTTACCTTAAAAAAATCAAAAAATGAAATGTGCTTGACAATAGGACCATAGAGGCTTTCATCATGTTTAAAGAAAAAAAAGTTTGTGAAAGCAGCATCTATGATCTCTGGATATTTCCTGCTGAGTTTTACAAGCTCAAGCCTCTCTTTGCGGCTGTCACGTCCTCTCCAGAAGGCTGTGGTGTTCTTGTCTTCCCACGATGGGCCAGTGTTTGCTTGGACTGACATCATATCCAGGCTGACGCTGCACCAGAAAGAAGTGGTTTAATAGTGAAGCCTACTGGAAACTTTTTAAAGTGCAGTAACTTAAAAGAGCTCACAGTACCCAGAGGCAGAGAGCAAAGATGAAGGCGAGTCATGAGCACCACCATCATGTGTTACTGTATCAGTCATTTTGCAGCAATAGAGACAGATAATGAATGTTAAGTTCACAGGCCTGTGGCATGACAGCATCATTCAACAACATGGCATGTGGAAACAATACGGAAAAAAATAGGTAAAAGTGGATACAGTTGCCAGAGAAGGTGATGCAAGGTACTGTAACTGGCTTAGTAAAATATATTGCACATCCTTAAAAATGTTAAGAAATGAAACACATAAACTGGGAGGGCAAGGGATAGCAAATTAGAAAAACTCTTGACAAAAAAAAGGAACCTGAACTAAACGCAGTGAAACGATAAACAAGTTCAAGATGCATTACAAAGATTTCTTAGAAGCAAGCTGTCTTTGTAGTGTTTCAAGACAGAAAAGAGCAGTTGCTAAGGCTAGTTATGGTAAGTAATCAAAGTGGGGGATGGTAGCTCCTAGTTCGAAAATTCCCCATAGCTATGTTGGGATTTGAAAGGTACACAAATAACAAATTCCAACAAAATCAGGAAAGAAAGCCACCTGGCCAGTTGTGAACAAATTCATGGGGGGAGAAACAAAGCAAACAAACAAACAAATCAAATGCCTAGCCTTGAAACATTTTAAGTGCTGTTTTTAGTGATTTGACCATGTTTAGATAAATTTAATTTTTGAAATGAAACAGTGAAGTATAATAATATATTGATTACACAGTCACTGCCTACCTGGGTTGCCAGTGTCTCAGTGGGTAAATGAAAATAGTTAATATACTGTTACCATACAGATCTCTATGGAAGATCATCCATTGTGAACTTTGTGAAAAGCTTAATCCATTTCTTACCGTCCCATAGTCTCCAAAACTGAGTCTGTTAAGTCGTATGTTGGCATGACAATGTCTTTTGACTCACTGGACCCACACCACGAGAAGATCGGGTGCAAGTTCTGTGGGGGCTTCCTTTTCTCCAGAGGCCAATCCCCCAAATTAACAAAAAATTCTACATCTGGCATTTTCACCTAAAGAGAAGCAAAGTAGGCACAAATGCAGTTTAGCACAAACAGTATTCTGCTGGCATCTTGCATTTTGAAAACAACCTCACTAAGAGAAAAAATTGCCAGGTGCCTAATATACTTAAAGTACCTGTAATAAATCATGGACATTTAGAAACCTGTTAGAAGTACTGAGACCACAGAGTAAAGCCTACAAAATAGTATTTAAAAAAATATTTGCAAAGTGACATAAGGCATAGGAGCCCCCTTTTTAGAGGATGGTTTCCTGTTATACTTTACATGATTGGCCACACAATCTTTTGATCAGGCTAGCACTGGGACCTAGTCAGCAATTGTATAGTTCCAAGGTAAGCTGGATCATTTTGTTACTGTATGGAA